CTGGGCGCGGTGGCTCAAGCCTGTAATCCCAGCACTTTGGGAGGCCGAGGCGGGTGGATCACGAGGTCAAGAAATCAAGACCATCCTGGTCAACATGGTGAAACTCCGTCTCTACTAAAAATACAAAACATTAGCTGGGCATGGTGGCACGTGCCTGTAATCCCAGCTACTCAGGAGGTTGAGGTAGGAGAATTGCCTGAACCCGGGAGGCGGAGGTTGTGGTGACCTGAGATCGCGCCATTGCACTCCAGCCTGGGTAACAAGAGTGAAACTCTGTCTCAAAAAAAAAAAAGAAAGAAAGAAAGAATGGGCTGGGTGTGGTGGCTCACATCTGTAATCCCAGCACATTAGGAAGCCAGCACAGGAGGATTGCTTGAGGCCAGGAGTTTGAGACCATTCTAGGCAACATAGCAAGGCACTGTCTCTTCAGAAAATAAAAAAAATTAGGCCAGGTGCGGTAGCTCATGCCTGTAATCCCAGCATTTTCGGAGACCAACCCAGGTGGATCCCTTGACGTCAGTTCAAGACCAGCCTGACGAACATGGTGAAAACTTATCTCTATAAAAAAAACAAAAATTAGCCAGGTGTGGTGGTGTGCACCTACAGTCCCAGCTACTAGGGAAGCTGAGGTGGAAGAATGACTGGAACCCAGGAAGCAGAGGTTGCAATGAGCCAAGATCATACCACTACACTCCAGCCTGGGCAAAACAGTGAGACCCTATCTCAAAAAAACAAAAAAAGGTCCGGTGTGGTAACTCAAACCTATAATTCCAGCACTTTCAAAGGCTGAGTGGGGTGGATCAGCTGAGGTCAGGAGTTCAAGACCAGCCTGGCCAACATGGTGAAACCCCATTCCTACTAAAAATAACAAAAAATTAGCCAGGCATGGCGGCGCACGCTTGTAGTCCCAGTGACCCCAGAGACTGAGACAAGAGAATCGCTTGAACCTGGGAGGTGAGGGTTGCAGTGAGCTGAGATCGCACCGCTGCATTCCAGCCTGGGAGACAGAGCGGGACTCCATCTCAAAAAAAAAAAAAAAAAAAAAAGTCAAAAAGAAAAAAAAACTGACACTGGTGAGGCTGTGGAGAAAAAAGAATGCTTATACACTGTTGGTGAGTGTGTAAAATAGTCCAGCCAGTGTGGAAAGCAGCCTGGAGATTTCTCAAAGAACTTAAAACAGAGCTACCATTTGACCCACTAATCCCATTACTGTGTATCTACCCAAAAGAAATCATTCTACCGAAAAGACACATGCACTTGTATGTTTGTTTATCACAGCAGTATTCACAATAGCAGACATGGAATCAATGCAGGTGCCTATCAATGGTAGATTGGATAAAGAAAATGTGGTACATCAAGCTCATCTGAACCATGGCCCATAGGCTGCGTGTGGCCCAGGATGGCTTTGAATGCTGCCCAACACAAATTC